GTCTGTGACATATGATTCTTAATATGTGACAAATGCTTTGTGACTTTTAAACATAAATATGAAGCAACTTATATCTAATTGTGTCCATCATCTTGACATAAAACAAGACGAGAACAAGATCAGGAACAAATCCGTATTGTTGTCTTTCTCCAAACAAGACATGATTAAGATCAGCAAGACCCTTTTGTACACCTTAACTATATGGAAGGATCTTTCATCTGATGATACGTCAAATAAAAATCATTTAGCATTTCTATTTCTTGTGTTCTTTTATTGATTCAAGTCTAATTGATATTTTTAATTATCTTCTGTTGAATTTATATTTCATTAGGAGTTTAAGGATTGTTAATGCAATTTGAATTACGTTTACCTTGTGTCTTATAGCCACAATAGTATATTGGGGGACGTTTTTGATTTGATTGATTAAATCATGATAATATAATTGTGAGATTTTTGTCCAATTTTGATTCAAACGATGTGTGTGCAAATCAACATTTCATGATTGCATTTTGTTCTTTATAACTTCTATAGGTGTCAAGATGGCTTACATCTATTTTTAGAATATCACTAGGTATATTAGTGTAGTTATAACATACATTGAGTTGGGGATGTCATTTACGAGAATCCAACACATTCAATGCATTGACATTAGCTTTTAAATAATTTAATCTGTGCATTGCACATCCAAAGAGTAAAGACCCGATCTCGCACCGGAGCCGTTATCATATCGTACGTACTCCACTTTGGGAGGGTCTAAGCCCATCTTATCCCTCACGGCATTCTGACGCGTCCCTCAGGATTCGAACCCAAGACCTCCATCATATGAGAGACTTAAGTTGAATCTCGGTACCAATTGGCCATCCTGGGGACGTGTAAGAAAGCCGTGAGGGCTAAGATGAGCCTATGCCCTCTCAAAGTGGACAGTACATACGATATGATGATGGCTCCAACGCGAGGTAGGGTCGTTACAAAAAAAAATAAGCATTTTTTTTGTAACGACCCGACCTTGCACCGGAGCCGTCATCATATCGTACGTATTGTCCACTTTGGGATGACTAGTTGCCCAATTGGTACCAGGATTCAACTTAAATCTCACATATGATGGAGGTTTTGAGTTCGAATCTTGGGGGACGTGTTAGAAAGCTATGAGGGGTAAGATGGGCCTAGGCCCTCCCAAAACGGATAGTACGTACGATATGATAATGACTCCAACGCGAGGTCGGGTCGTTACACAAAGACTAATAATATATCAAGAAGAATGATGCTTGAAAGTATCAACAAGATGTAGAAAACAAGAATATAATCTAAACAATATAATATCATGTGAATCAGTTAGGACTTAATTCTTTCTTTTTAACTTATAAATGAGGTTGCTTATGAATAATTCAAGTATCCACTCGATTTTTTCAAAACAGTAATTAAATAATGGTCCATTACCATTTCTTTTATAATATTGATATTGGCATGTTGAAAGCTTATAGATGAATTAGAACAAGAGAATAATAAGCAATATGAGTTTTCTTCAATGATCAACCTTATGACAACCATTCAGATGCGTTTGGTATTTATAATTTAGGTTTTGGGGTTGAATGGGTTGGACAAAAAGCTTTAAAAACGTGAATTAAAATTTTTCGGGAAACCCTATCGCTCAAACGAAAGTTGGACGATAGGCGAGCGATGATGTGTCGCTCGAGCGAAGGCTAGTCGACAGGCTAGAAACGATATTTATGTTTCTGCCGCTCGAGCAAAGTCATGACGACAGTCTAACGAAATTTCGACGCCATTTTTCCTTTTTTTCCAATCTTGAACCCTAGACCTAATACAACTCAATTTCTACTATTTTTAACTTACTCATTGACTTTTACAACATATTAAATATAGTCTATTTTGTTCACACACTTGACAATTACATCAAAATCTAACACAATATGTTATCTTACAATAAACAAACCTCTTTTTATAAGTTCTAAATAATAATGAAAAGGAAAATTACGACAAGAAAAAAAAATGAAAATCTGGGATTTCCTTTTAAAATGAGACAAATTCACTATTATACCAAAAACAATAAAGTGCAATAATGAAAATTCAATCTTTAATTGATTTGACTCCGTTTATGCCTAGAATATACTTCCCAATTTGCATCAATAGAGATGTGCTACTTCTCCTCGATTCATAGCTGTTGATCTTCATCTCTGGGATGATTCCTTAAGTTGTTAACCGTCTCTCATCACACACTGGGTATTCTCATTCAATTCTTCTCTCTCTCTCTCTCCCTCCCTCCCTCCCTCCTTCCCCCCCGTGAATCTTTGAAAATCTGTCATGTTCTGCTACTCCTTTGGGTTTTCCGTTGAGATTTCTTGTGGAAATCACCGGTTGAACATTTCAGTGGTGTGGTTGAGTCCCTAAACTTGTTTGATTGTGAGTCCCTAAACTTGTTTGATTGTGAGTTTCTTTGAGTAAATAGTAACTTTCTACAACATTAGTCATTTGGATGTTTTGTGTGAGTTGGTGGATCTTCTAGTGATCCTGGTGAAACCTGTTTTGTCCTACATAAATAAAAGAGTCACTTGGTGATTACTGTTCATAAGCCGAGCCGAGCCAAATGGCTTTATGGCTCGGCTCGGCTAAGCTTTTTTTTTAATATTATGTTTGATTAGTTTTGGTTCTTATTTACAAGCAAAATGGCTTGATGGCTCGACTCGACTAAGTCGTTTTTTTAACGTTTGATTCAGTATTTTCAGTTACAAATATTCGTTTTAATAGATTTAAAATTTGTTGGAAATGTTGAAGTGCGGTCATGATAAATATATGATCGATAAATTTTAAATATCAAAAATAATTTTACATTAATTGTGAAACGTAAAGTCGTAATTGCTTATGTTTCTTTTCAATCCCAACATCATTCTAATATTTTTTTTCGAACTTTATTTTTCTACAATTTTTCATTTGATTTGATATTTTACGATATGAATATCCATTTGAATCGATTTAATATTTTTTTAAAAAACTACTTAAAATGCGATAATAATAAATATACTGTCGATTAAGTTTAAATATAAAAATTATCTTAAATTATTAAACGTAAAATCATAATCGTTAATTTTGATTTTCTACCCCATCCCAACCCCCATACACCAATTTCTTTCAATTTCAATTTTCTTCCCTTTTTACGGTTAAAAATGGTAAATTTATAGTGTCAAAATGGATATTGAGGGAATTGAATGATTTTCAGAAGAATACTCCTACATCATCCAGTGCGGGTAGACAAACATCTTCTATGAAGTTGATTATTTTGGTTTTTTAAAATGGATTTAATGTACAGTATCATTAGAATATGTTGAAAAGATATTTGACAGAATTTATGAAGTTAGGTAATCGTTTGTTATTCTTCATGCCTCTATGATAGAAGTTTTCGTTGTATTGTAATTTTAATACCTAGAGAGACCCTTGATTTGTCCTAAATTCTGTACTATAATATTATTATTTAATTAGTCTTAACTACATACGTTTTGCAAAGGGTTTTGGTAAAGAACTTAAATACTGGTGCAACTGATACATGTAATCGGCGATTTTATGAGCACGAGATGAATGAGACATAATGTCTTACCTCAATAAGTAGAAAAATGAGGACTATGTTGAACTTCATTATCTCTTAAGCAGTATATCAACACCTAATCATCTGTACCCTGTCTTTTTTAAAAAAAAAACACAGAGACCTTCAAACACAAAGTCTAAAAAATAAGTTTTGAATCAAATTTCATAATATTATTTTTGTCACCTATCATCATTTCAAGTATTTTAAGTTTAATGTAACGTATGCTTAAAACAAATAATTTTTTTAATATTTACGCTATCATATAGCCAATTATACTATGACACGTGCATTGGACAGACGTCTTACTAGTAATAGATAATGTTTAAGTTGTATAGTTAAATGTTTTTACACATCAGTTTGAATATATTGTTTCAGTCATAGAGAGTCCAAAGATATTACCAAGCTATCAGTTAATGAACTCATGAAAAGTATATGAACTCTGATACATGTACAGAAAGCTACGTGTACAGATATTCTATACAAGTATAATAACTCCTATATGAAGAAGCCAAATGAAAGTACATCCCAATTAAATGAAGAAAATGGTAAACACGGAATTTATTTTATGGAAATAACATTAGGTTTATCAAGTGGTTATATGCCATTACATGTTACAAGACAAAAACTTGTTTCGCAGCATTGATCTTTGGGTTACTACAAAAGCAATGATGGGAAATAGTGCCATTGTAGAGGCTAAAGGGAAAGGTACAATAAGAATAATCACTAAACGAGGATTGAAATATATTCATAATGTTCTATTGGTCCCGGATTGGAGCAAATATCTTCTCAGTGTTGGCCAACTTGAGAAAATAATTGTTGTCGAATTTTGGAAAACCATAATACAGCTCAAATAATTGCCAATGAGAAATAGATAAATAACTGTGATTCATTAGAAGACAAATTTAAAGGTTTCCATACAATTTGACGAGGGAGAATATAATGATGCAGTTTCATAGAATATTCTCTGTAAATAGTAAATTATTCTCCAAGGTTCGTGCCTTGCATGCTTAGAAAGGTAATTTAGAATCTGGTCGATTTTAGAAAACTTGAAATTACCTTATATTTAAAGGGAGCCGTTCTTCTGGTGAGATATCACATAAAGAGTTGTGAAGAAAATTTTGTAATTCTCTTTTTTCATTGTAGTGGAAAAAATGTGCACACTTTCTATTTGTAGTGCTCTTTGGTTTTGGATTAGGTTTAATCCATAACATAATGTTGGAACAGATTTATTTGTGACCTTTGAGAAGTCGTATGAGGTAGCTGTGCAGTTTTGAAGAGTAATGTTACAGTCACCTATGAATACTGTTGAAAGTAGTCAAAATATGGTTTTATCCATAAAAGAAGCCGGTAGTTCTTGAGTTACAACATACTATATATAAGTTATTGAAACAAGAATTTTGTCCACCTAAGAAATGTTAGAGCTTGATGTGGACATATCTTGCTGAGATTCCAATTGAACCTCAGCTTGAGAAACTTCTGGAGCTAAGCTTTCTGTTTGTAAAGATGCTGGTGTTTCAGTTACAGTGGGCACAGTTGCTTCTGAAGGCGTAAACTTGTTGATGTAGTAGCCTAAGGATGGTCCCGAGTATTCTGCTGTTTGAACCACAGGAGGATTCTTCCCAACTTGAAGAAGTACTGAAAAAGCGGCTGCAATAGAGATCAGAGCAAGTCCAGCAGTAATAGCTGCAATGTTCTCAGATCCATCAGAAGATGACCCTCTATTTCCAGAGCTGATTGAACTTTCTGCCACATATACTGCTGGCTGAAGAGAATTAGATGCAATATTACACCATTTGAATAACTTGCAAGCTTGTGTGAAATGTCAAAAGGATATATTTTAAGCTAAAAATAACCAGGTGCCAGGTGGCATTTGTTAAGCAACAAAACCACGAGAACAATTTCACACAAGAAATTGCACGTGCAACGGAGCTTTAAAAATCAAATCATTATAAGATCTATTTAGTTTTTTCAGAATTTGAAGCCTTTTGATATTGATTTACAGTCAGCTTTCATGTAAACTAAAATATTTTTTTGATTAGATTCTCAAGTTGTAAAACTGTATTTAGCATGCTCGTAGGTTGACTCCCCTATGCACCTGGACTAAGGCAATCCAATATGAATCATAACTGAAATGAGTTAAGTATAATTATGTGTGGAAGGAACAGTGATGCCAAATTAGTCTTATATAAGGTTAACGAAAAGGCAAACATTAGGAACTTGGAATGGTGGGATTATTCAAGGGAAACAGATTTTTTTATCACATGATTATTTAGTTTGAACGACTTTCTAATCAGTTCAATTTAAATTGAACTGAATAAATAGCAAAGGAGTAGAAAATCTGTTTCCTGTTTCATTCCAGGTACAAAATATGGTTAGAACATGAACCAGAACTGAAATAAATCTAGTCAAGTCATAAACTGAAGATATGCAAGTAATCGTCCAAATAGGGTCCGGAAGGAGGACTTACATGGATTGACAATTTTGCAAAGTTATCTTCTAAAATGCTAGTATGGCTTTTAAGAGTATCTCCAAGAGATTCTTTATATATCAAGAATATCTTATGTATAGTAGAGAGCATCTGTAAATTTAGATAGAAAAATTTTATAAACACTTCAATAATGCTCTCTATTTTGGCTCTGTATTTTACTGTTTTCAAGAAATATTTATTGATTTCTCCTCATCTTTTTTTATAAGTCAACAGCCAATCAATTCAAATATGATTTCAATAATTTAAGAAGTAGAGTATTGGAATCTGTAACTTATTAAATGCAAAAATTATAAAGTTCAAATATAGAGTCTCTTGGAACTTATTCTTAAGTATTGATTCTCTAAAATAGGAGTATCTCGTATTTTGAGGGTCTCTTGGAGATGCTTTAATTAGTTTCACTGTGAGGATCACTTCCCTGAATGCAGCAAGTCAATGTAACCAGAGATATTGTTTTAACCTCCAATTTCTGTTGACGAATATCAATTTATAATGAACTTGTGTTTTTTTGTCATAAATAAATTTTCATCAGCTAGAAGTTTGGTGGTGAGTTGAAATGGCAGCTTTACAATAGCATTTGGATTCTTTGATCAAATATTAGCAGCATCAAGTTCAAAGAGAGAGATAAGCAGAACAGGATGCAAAGTTCTTTCAAAAGATGCAATAACCTGAACAAACCTTCCCATTCATATATTTCAATACCCCAAAGAAACCAGAGAAGTTTTTATTCACTAACCTCAACCGAGTATATATTTGTTTGTCCAGCAGTGTCCTTTTCAACATACCCAGTCCAACCCTGCTTACGGGGAGGAATGTACCAACTACTTTTGTATTGTCCCCAGCTACCCATTCCATGCTCACTTTCCCAACCTGTTTTGTCATTGTCAATGTATTAGATTCCTTTCAAGATGAGAGCAGCAAATTATCATATTGCACGTGAACTTTTGATACCACGATGCCAGCAAAAGTTTATCATCTATGGAATAACAGGGAACATGAGGAAATGAAAATTCTAGAAAATATTTAAGTGAACAGAAGTGGACTGCATCTTTCTATTCATTGGGGTGCCCCTGTTTTATTGGTAAAATAGTTTCATTATCAATAAGAATACCTTTCTGCTAAAACAGAAGAAAAAAATTGGGATTGTTTAACATTACCGTAAAAATGTGATTAAAACCAGAGTTGCAAGCCAGAAACTAAATTTCAATCCACAATTTTAATGCGGTAAAGTTTGAAGAGTGATTTAGCCCTTATTTGGTTTGGATAACGTTACAGACTATATTTCTAGAATAGGAAGTAAATATATTTGACTCTGATTTATAGGGATTTGCTGTAATTAGTTTTCCTTTCTAACATAGGATTTGTAACTTGTATATATACCTAAGAGATTGATGAATACAACTGAGAAATAACTTTCTTCTCTTTTCTATCTTCAGAGTTCTAGTTTTACATCTTTATAGTTCTAGCTTTACATGGTATCAGAGCCTTCGGGTTTATAACTCTGAAATTTCTAAAAATATAAATAGTGGGGCTTTAGGGTTTTCTTGGGTTTCCTATTTCCGGCAATTTCTTGTTCCCACCGCCTGCACCTGGGGAAACGCCACTCGCCGATTGGCCTTTGCTCGGAGTTTCGTCCCTGGATTCTTAGCGCGTGAGCCATACGTGCCGACAGAAGGAGTCTGTCCCGTTTGTGCCGTTCTGCTTGCCTCAACTTCCACGACAAAGTTTACTACATGTTAGGGTCATCGTCTGTTCGGTATGGGATCTACTTTGGGACAAGTTTGGATTCTTAAAGTATTTTAACTTTGTTGTGGTTTTCGCTCTGTTATTTAGCTGATATTTGATAATATGGAGGAAAAGAAGTCTATTGTTGTGTCTGATGTGGTTCCTATGATGTCAAAAATCACAGAATATAAACTTAATAGATCTAATTACTTAGATTGGAGTAAAACTGTTAGACTTTATTTGCGGAGTATTGCTATGGATAATCACGTGACTGATGAACCACCTAGTGATGATTCGAAAGCCTCATGGCTAAGAGAGGATGCCCGTTTGTTTTTGTAACTACGTAATTCTATTGATAGTGAGGTGGTTGGTTTGATAAATCATTGTAAATTTGTGAAAGAATTGATGAATTATTTGGATTTTGTGTACTGGAAATATCAAACGCACTTATGAGGTCTGCCAAGCCTTTTATGGTGCAGAAAAAGGTGACAGATCTCTCAATGACTACTTTATGAATTTTAAGAAGACTTATGAGGAATTTAATATGATACTTCCATTTAGTATTGATGTGAAAGTTCAGCGAGCTCAAAGAGAAAAGATGGCGGTTATGAGCTTCTTGGCTGGTCTTCCTTCCGAGTTTGAAACTGCTAAATCTCAAATTCTTTCTAGCTCTGAGATATCCTCTTTGGAAGAAGCTTTTCGTAGGGTACTCCGCACAGAAAATTCAGCTTCTGCTCAGCCTAATAGTGCTTTTGTCAGCCGCACCTCTGAATCTGGGAGACGGCCATATAGAAGTGACAATAAAGGGGAAAACTCAAGTAGCTATGATCAAAATCTTTGTTATTTCCAATGCATGTCCCATACATTTTTAGGCTGATGCCGTTTCTACAGCCTGTTTTCTGATTAACCGTAGCCTTCCTCTGTTCTTTCTGACGAGACTCCCTTTCATATCATTTTTCCTGAAAAGTCATTATTTCCTATTGAACCTAGGATATTTGGTTGTACTTATTTTGTTCGGGATGTTCGACCTCATATTACAAAACTTGATCACAAATCTCTAAAGTGTATCTTTCTTAGCTATTCTCGTGTGCAAAAAGGGTATAGATGTTCCTGTCCCAATCTTAACAGTTACACTGTGTCAACTAATGTTACATTTGTAGAACAAACACAATTTGCTTCATCTTCAGGTTCTATGAGTCAGTGGGAGGATGATGATTTATTAATCTATACTATTACATCCCCTAGTTCTGATCTTCCTTCCTCTGCTCCTGTTCAGCCTCTTATAAAACAGGCTTATTCTCGCCGCCACAACCTACTGCTCCTGATCAGGTTCCTATTCCTACACCTCTTGCTTTATGTCATGCACCAGTTTCTTCGTCATCAGATCCGATTCCCAATTCTAGTGATGATCTTCCTATTGCCCTTCGCAAAGGTAAACGTCAATGTACTTATCCAGTATCTTCTTTTGTGTCATATAACCATTTATCACCATCCTCTTGTTCTTTTATTGCATCTCTTGATTCTGTCACTATTCCTAAAACTATTCATGATCTATCTTATCCTAGATAGCGTAATGCTATGATTGGGGAAATAAATGCTTTAGATGACAATGGTACTTGGACCCTGGTACACTTGCCTGCAGGTACAAAGGCTATTGGATGTAAATAGGTGTTTATAGTTAAAGTCAATCCTGATAGGACCGTTGTTAGACTGAAAGCTCGACTTGTTGCTAAGGGATATACTCAAACATATGGAGTTGATTATTCTAACACATTTTCTTATGTTGCTAAACTTACTTCTCTCAGGTTATTTATTTCTATGACAGCCACATATAATTGGCCTCTGCATCAGTTAGATATCAAGAATGCATTCCTTCATGGTAATCTTCAGAAGAAAGTTTATATGGAGCAACCACCTGGTTTCGTTGCTCAGAGAGAGTATAGAAAAGTTTGTCATCTTCGTAAATCCTTGTATGACTTGAAACAAAGTCCTCGTGCCTGGTTTGGAAAGTTTAGTCAGACTATTGAAAAGTTTGGCACGAAAAAGACTAAGTCCGATCATTCTGTTTTCTATAAGCAGTCCACGACTGGTATCTCCTATTAGTTGTCTATGTTTATGACATTGTTATTACTGGGAGTGATTCTGGTGGTATTTCATCTCTCAAATCTTTTTTTTACAGTCAGTTTCATATAAAGGATTTAGGAACACTAAAGTATTTCTTGGGTGTTGAGGTGATGAGAAGTAAGAAAGGGATTCTCTTATCTCAAAAAAAGTATGTGCTTGACTTGTTGGTAGAAACAGGAAAATTGGTGGCTAAACCATATAGAATTTCAATGGTTCCTAATTTGCAGCTTACAAAAGATAGTGAATTGTTTGAAGATCCTAAGAGATATAGAAAATTGGTTGGAATGTTGAACTATCTTACTGTGACTCGTCCAGATATTGCCTATTCAGTTAGTGTGGTAAGTCAGTATATGTCTTCTCCAACTGTCGATCATTGGAGAGCTGTAGAACAAATTTTATGCTACTTAAAAGGAGCGCCTGGGAGAGGAATTCTGTATGGCAATCATGATCATACTACGATTGAATGTTTTTGGCAGGATCCAAGGAAGATCGAAGATCTACTTCCGGCTATTGTGTATTTGTTGGAGGAAATTTGGTTTCATGGAAAAACAAGAAGCAGAATGTGGTCTCACGTTCAAGTGCAGAATCAGAATATAGGGCTATGGCTAAGTCTGTGTGTGAAATAATGTGGATACATCAGCTCTTCACTGAAGTTGGCATCAAGATTTCAATACCGGCTAAGTTATGGTGTGATAACCAAATTGCACTTCATATTGCATCTAATCCAGTCTTTCATGAACGAACTAAATACATTGAGATTGATTGTCATTTCGTTCGTGAGAAGATTCAGCAGGGTTTGATTTCTACAAGATATGTGAAAATATGAGAACAATTGGGAGATATCTTCACAAAGTCTCTAATGGGGTTCGGGTTGATTATCTTTTTAACAACCTGGGCATGATAAACATCTATGCTCCAGTTTGAGGGGGAGTGTTACACACTATATTTCTAGAATAAGAAGTAAATATATTTGACTTTGATTTATAGGGATTTGACGTAATTAGTTTTCCTTTCTAACATAGGATTTATAACTTGTATATATATCTAAGAGATTGATGAATACAACAGAGAAATAACTCTCTTCGCTTTTCTATCTTCAGAGTTCTAGTTTTACATCTTCAGAGTTCTATAAAATTAGATTTTTAGTAGAGTTTGATAAAAGTTGATAAAATATGTAGTTGAAAAGTTGATAAAAAGTTGTGGGTCCCATGAAATATGGTTGAAAATAAGTTTAAGGAAAAACAAGTTCTTAGAAATGGGAGACCAAACAGGGGCTTAATACTTCAACCATAAAGAGCCAATTACTTGAAGTGTCAGCTCCCATTCTGTTCCAACAGAGGATTGAATGATCAAGTGTGTCGCATAGAATCTAGTTTGGCTCAGTGCTGTATGAAAAATGACAGTGCCATAGTTTAGTCACTTGTAAGGTGTGGTTATTAATAAATAAAAGAATCAATTAGAAGATGGTTGACAAATATATGGAATAAGAGCAACAAGGAGTAAGTGCATCGTATAACTAACTATGTCAAGAAGTGATAGCATCTAATACTTAAATCATTAGTGTTCAAATAGGCCTTACACAAATATTTTTTTATATGTTCAAATAAGAGATAAAATACAAGCAGAGCCAGACTAATGTAGTTTCTCATGAAGGATTGCAGATTTCACTTAAAATTTTGTACCGATAAAGGTATATAGCTAATATTTCAAAGACTCAATAATCAATAGCAAGCTAATTTAAATTAAACATAGCAACTATAAGCTAAAACTTACTTCCATTAAACTGGAAGTTATCTCCGAGCAGTTTGATTCAACATGCCACATTTTAACCACACAAGAGTGCTAGTTTTGGTCTACCTCTACCCTTACACAGTTTTACTGGGAACTCATTTCTCTTATGCACAGGCGCTTCTTTAGGTCTATTTTGAGATCTCATTGCTCTTGTACACTAAGGCTTTATGTCTATGCAAGTTTCTAGAAGATTGATGCCATCTCCATTTGTTTGGCTTGTTTGCTTTTTGGATACTTGTATTCTTTGTTATCCAAAAAAATTCTCTTCCTCTAAGCAGAGTTCAATGGAAATAACAGAAGAATAATTAGATGGTGAGGCGTTCTAAAGCCTTCTTTAAATTTGCAGTTTTCCTATTGTCCATTATCCAGACTAATAGCTTGTTCTAATTCTCAATTTTCTTTTAATTCAACTATACTCCCTGAATTGGTTTCCAAGAATTTTTAATAAAAACCAGTTCATTTCCCAATTGGGACATCAAATTTCTCTGCTGGCACTGCCAGAATAAGTTTCCACTCTCATGGGCAATATGGCAAACAACTTCTGAACAATCATATTTCACAGGAAACTGAATCTTAAATTTCCACATTCAAATGACTTCTCATCAAAAACGCTTTTAACTTCAGTAATTCTTCAAACCCACTTTAATCTTGCATTATTCTTATACAATTTAACTACATATACTGATGTACCCATATAAACTTCGTGATTGAGTGTAGAAAGACAGATGACGAGAAATGTTAGGAAAGAAATGACCTCCTTATCAGGTGCACATTCTTCAGTATTGCAATCATAATCCTCAGCAGAAGATCTCATTTTGAATAAATGCAAACTTTGCCTCTTTTTGGACTCATTCCGGCACTTGTTGAACTCCAATCTGCTGCTTGTGACTGTGCAGCTGTTTCCTGACAATGCGCACGCCATAATTCGTTCACTTCTTACACTCTATGAAATTTTTGTTCCGAGACAATGCTTAATTTAACGTAAAATTAAACACGAGTTGATTTTTTTTAGTTTCTTGGGAAAGGACTTGTGTTTTCGTTGGAGGGAGATATTTGTGATTTGTGTTGTAGCAATTAGCTAGTGTTCAAGGTGAGCTACATACTTAAGACTCTTCCAAAACGATCAATACATAAGTTAACGACTTGAACACATTGATCAAGTTGTTACAATATACTTCTTCTGATAATACATCTTGCTTATTGTGATCATTGTGGTTGGTGAATATCCATTAAACAAGTATGTGTGTATGCATTACAATGAACGACGAAGAAATCAATTGTTTCAAACTTCGTTCTTCACAAACACTACTTGCAAGTGTCATTTACACATACAATTGTGAAGGTAGTCATGTACAGTTTTTTCGCTTTGAACTCGAAATTGTGTTTTAATGCAATTATTTACAGCTTCCTGAGATCTTTCCTGGTGACAAATAGTTGCTCGACCTATAAATTTTTATCACCTAGACTTACATGTGAAGTACGAGAAGATCTAGAGCTACATCCAGCATGTGAGTTCACACATGACTTGATTCTACGCGAAGAAAAAGCAAAAGATCCTAGTTTGTAAATGAAATCTCTACCTCGTTTTCTTAAACAATCACTGGTGATCTGTGCATAATAATGAGATCTTGCTTTGTAGCAGCTGTTTAGTTATAACTACGTCATCCTTCTAATCTATCTCCATTATGTCCTAAGAATAATACACATTATGGTCCACTTCATCACTTGCTTTATGTTCATTCTCCATGACATCCTACCTTACAAAAGATATGCAAAGAAAAACATGGTGCTTTTGGTTGAGTTGAATCAACAACCTCACTTGCAAGTCACAAGTAATCTTTAACGGTTCAACTAAGAGATGAGTTTTGTCGAGAAAAAGAACTTTGAACTCCACCGCATATTCATGGGATAAATGTTGAGGAGGTTTTGACGTTTTGTACATGATGTTATGTTCATATATGATGACTTCACTGATACACGAAGTTCAATAACTCCTTCTTCATCACTCTCGATTAAATTTCATGTCCATCGATGATGTTCATTCTTTAGAAAATCACCAAAGTAACAAACTGCGAGGGAATAATAGATCTATGGTTGCAAAGAGTTAAGTTAGGTAACAAATGGTCGACAGTCTGTTGACCATTTGTTAACAGTTGACCTGAATAGTCTCTCATGCTATAAATATTGGCGTACACCTAGAGCATATATATATATATATATAAAAACAGAAGTGCCGTAAAAAAAAATTTCCCGCCAAAATGGACTTTCCTCTTATGGAATTCTAATTTCAAACTGTCTGTTCGTCTACCTCAAGTCTGTGTTTTATGTTTAACAAATTTCAGTTCGTCTACCCATTAGTCAAACATTACAGCATGCTTTTATTGATAGTAACAATCTCATTTGTTGAGTTTTGTGTTCATTAAATCTTTTTTTTTTTTAATGTTTGGAAACCGAAAAAATGTTTGATTTTATTATTATTATTATTATTACAGTATTCGTGAAAATTTAGAGGCCAAAGTAATTAATAATTATTAATAGTCGTTCTGTATTAATTATTTCTATTTTTCCCTTAAATTTGATTTGCACATAAAGAGGCAAGTGACAGTGAAGTAAGTTTGATTTGCATGACAGTGAAGTTTGATGTGCATTACGGACATTTTTTGAAATTTGATTTGCACATAAATAGGCAAAGTGACTGTTTGTTTTCCAAGAGTATGGACGTGCAACCATCTTGAAATACTACAATTTTGTCAATATTTCACTTCAAAATCCATCATTCTACCTTACTTCTCATCATTTCAACCTTACTTCTCATCATTTCAGCAGTGTAAACAAGACTTTTGCGATATGGCACCGATATTTGATCTTGTGCGAGATATCAACGTCACGAAGACTAGCTGGGCGCTGGAAGTGCGTGTTATCCGCGTTTACGAGCTGCTGAAGTTCACAAATCCGAAAACATATAGCTTGGAGTTCATTTCACATGACAGTAAAGTAAGTTTTCCTATCCCATTTTAAACTTTACATGTGTATCTGGTATAAACATATGTAATGCACAAACATGTTAATAATGTACCACACATATCCGTTTACATTTTTTTTTATCATTTTCGTCGTGTTTTGGAATTTTTTTTTGTCATTAAACTGCAGATCGAAATTTAGGATATGAAAGTGAGAAAAGAATTATAAATATGGCATAAAATAAATTTCTAAGCTATAATTTGCATTCTTTTAGTCACGAGGTATAATTTTCTGAAATTTATAAATCTGCTACTATAAGTCATAGAAGAAAATGTCTTTATATGTTTGTTTTAAAATTTGAAGATGAATATCAGTAAAGGAAAAAAATAATAATAAGGACGAAAAATTAAATTAGTACGATGTAAATTATCAAGCAATTATTTTTCCACTATAATTTTTTTTCTTATTACTTTTCTTAACGTAGGGTGACCGGATACATGCAAGTATTAAGAGTTCTTTGATTAAGACGTACAAGCCGTTGATCAAAGAGGGACATTCATATGTAATTCGACATTTTGTTGTTGGGGCCAACAACATGAAATTCAAGACTACGTCTCACAAGTACAAAATTAACTTCATGCCAAAGACACGTTTTCGAGATTCACGATGATAATCAGCTTCCAAAACAGATCTATATCTTCAAGCATTTCAATGATATTTTGAATGCAACTAATGTTAATAATTCTGAGTTGTTCGGTAAGGCTTATGTTCCAAAATTATTTTTTCGTACATAATTTACTTTACTTATTTACGTTTTTCAATTACATTATTTTAGTTTTTTATTTTGTTTTTTAATGTCATTCACTCAGATGTTATTGGAGAGGTAGTTGGTAGAGACGTGCCAAAAACTAAGGAAGTTTCCGAGCGAATGGCGAAGCTCATAGACATCGAGATCGAGGACCTTGAGTATGGATGTTTTGTCTCTTGAATAGTCTTTGTATTTCCGCTATATTTTTTTAAATGAGCACTTTTATCTTTATAGGAAAAATCAGCTTCCGTGTACGTTATGGGGTGACTTCGTTGACGAAGTTGATGCTAAGTTAGCTGAAAATAATGGAGAACCTGTAATTCTATTGCTACAAATGTGTCGTGCAAAGGGTTTGAATGGTATAGGGGTTCCTACATTTCTGAAATATGTACATATGGTCTCTAAGGGAATTTTTTGTGTCATTAATTAACTGTTTAATTTTTTAATATAGGGGTATATAGAGTCTGCAACACATTTCACGTAACTAAAATGATAATCAACGGTAGTTGTGACGAGGTGACTGATTTTCGTAGCAAGTAATGCCTATTCTCTGTACTCTCCACTTGCTACTATCTATTACTTTATGAATCATTTTTTTTATTTACAATATGTTTTCTTTAAGGCTGTTGGATGGAATGGAAACAAGCTCTCAAAGAGTCAGTCTCCTATCTTCGTCTACTGTTTACACGGTGTCAGGTGATCTTGAGATGGGGTTTCTTTAAGGCTGTTGTATGGAATGGAAACAAGCACTATAAGAGTCAGTCTCCTATCTTCGTCTACTGTTTACATTGTGTCAGGTGATCTTGAGATGGGGAATGCTGAAATTAGAACCATTGACCAATTAACATCCGCTGGGGAGGTAAAATAATAAGCTCTAATTGGCTACTGTCTTGCACCTTCTAATATATATTTGCAATTTTATAAAAATCTCTAATCCTATTGTTTTCGTTTTATTTTTTTGCATGCATATGTTGGTAGTTTCTGGGTACTTGCTACTGTGTGTTCGATCGAAACTGAACACAAGTGGTGGTATTTGGCTTGCAAAAGGTTTCCAAAGAAGGTCAATTGTGTTGGGACAAGATTTTACTGCGAAAAATGTGATCGTTTTGACAAATCTGGCCATCCAAGGTTTAGTGTTCACGTTTTAATTTTTTAATTATATGCATGAAAGCAAATAATTTGTTTTTGAATTATTTCCCTAAATTTCAACATGTAATTACGTGTTGTTAGATTCAAGATACAAATGAGGGTGATTGACGGGACAGGGAACACGTCCTTCCTTTTGTGGGATAGAGATTGCACTGAATTGATAGGGAAGACTGCAGCTGATTTGCTAGATGAAATCACTACGGTATTTCTCTAATTATTAACAAAATTTCCCCTAAATTGCCTAATACATGGACTCTTTGATCTAACTATAACAATTATATGTTGCTGTGTCTAGAGTTACAAATCGCAAAGGGTTGAAGATTTTGATTTGCGATAGGGATGACGGACAAGACAATTCAACGACAAATGTTGTTTTCAAGGAAGTTTTCCAAAATTTGTAGTAGTTGGAACATCAATTTAATTTTTTTATGACGATTGTAACGCATATATGATCCTTATTTCATATACTTTTATAACAACCTTAATAATCCTTTTTAAGTCAAATGAAATATTTAATCTCAACAATTATAAATTTAGTTTTTTAGTACAATATTCGTGCATTGCACGGGTGACACACTAGTAAATAATAAGTCAAGATAGTATGAAGATTGATCAAATGGTTTGTTATAATTGGTTGGGATGGTTTTTTAAAGCCCAAATTAGATGGGTATGGACACTTGATTTCTCAAGATCTCACGAGCTACAAAAATTATCGAGATTTTACTCCTTTTATAATTTTAGGATGTATCTCAAATTTTTAAAAGATCATCATGTATTATCTATAAATCAACTCCTTATATTTTTCCTAACTCAAAATAAATTATTTCCTTGATTAGATGGAAGCTGGATAATAATTGTGTTATTTACACAATTATATATGCTATTAGACTTGACAAATTATAAGCATATTTCTGCATAATTTAGTATAATAATCTTAATTGTGGAAAAAAAAAACCTGAACTTGGATGAAATTGGCATAAAAAAGGGGCAATTTTGAGTTGATTTGGAGCAATTAAAGACTAATGAGATGGTGCGAGATTGATAAAAAATAAAAAGAGTCATCGAAAGAAAATTGCAAGTTTTGGGATGAAATCCAACATCTGAAAAGTTCGGGGATTAAATTGCACAATTTTAGAACTTGAGATTAACCAATTTCGAATGATTATAAAGTTTTGAGGACCAATCTTAAAGATTTTTGAAGTTTTGGCATCGAAGTTGTAATTTAGGATTAAAAAGGAACAAAGTTGGACAAAAACTTGAAGAAATGACCAATGCTGCATGAAAAAGTTGATTTGGAGACCAACTTAAATGAATCTGTAAGAGAAATTAAGAAAAAACCTTGCGATTGTAAGGTTCAGCAAGCAAGGTATAACATGCAACATCAAGTTTTAGATATAACCATGCGATCACAAGCATTTGAACCGTGAAATCGCATGGCTATCTAAAGCAGAATTAGATTTTCTCTCCTATTCTAATTAGATTTATGTTTGAAAAGATGGTTCACTAAAGAAAATATCACCTTCAACAACCACAAAAATGGTCGTAAAATATACATTTTTGGTTGTTGATCACATTCAATGACCAAAATCAATTGGTCGTTAGTTAGTTGGCAAAGAGGTGTCGACGAATGTATTCATTGATTAGAAATACATTTGATCGTTAAATATATTATTTCAACAACTAAATAATTGGTAGTCAAAGGTTTGCATTGATAACCGATTCTTTTTTGAACAACCACTTGTTCGATTGTTGTATCAACTATTTTTGTCGTTAAAATACAATGAAAGCAACCAAATTTTAGTTGCCTTTCATTTCAACAATGAAAGAAATGGTCGTTAAAAATTAACATTAACAACCGATTAAGTTTGTCAATGATTAACAACGAACTTCCATTCGCTAATTTGAATAAAAAATATGGAAATGAGGTTGTTTCGCCTATGGAAATTAATGTGCAATCGATCAGAGTGTGTTTGCAATACAAGTTAAATGATGGTGAGTATGCCAAGTCATTAGCTCAAAACCTATTGGAGTTGGACGAATTAAAGTTGGATGTTCTAGATAGATTGCAAGTTCAAAAATAAAGAATGACTAAATTTTATAACAAAAAAGTTATAGTCAAATCTTTTAGTTTGGGCGAATTGGTTTGGAAAACAATATTCCTTTTGGATAGCAAAGATCCAAAGTATGGCAAGTGGTTGCCGAATTGGGAAGGGCCATATAAAGTGAAAAGCGCATTACTTAATGGAGCCTATCATTTGGAAGATTTAGATGGTACTAAGCACGTGAGAATCATTAATGGAAAATACTTAAAAAAATATGTTCATTTGAACATCGTATTGCCTAATGGAGCTTACCATTTGGAAGATTTAGACGGCACTAAGCACATGAGATTCATTAATGGCAAATACTTAAAAAAGTATGTTCCTTCCTTATGGGAAAGTGAACAAATAAAGGCATAGATAAATAAGCATTGCTGAACGATCGTGACTAAATAATACAAGAACGAAGTACGTTCAAATAAACTCTTTTATTATATACTCTATCAAATACTCATTACAAATCATGAGATATAAATTACAATGTGCTCTATAAGCTGCAATTGGGAGCATGTTATCATCATTCTTCTATCAATGACAAAGAAAACGGCCAGCTCGCTTTGACCGCTTTCCTAATTACATTGCTGTAATGGCAGACAAGAAGGCTGAGAAGTACTCGCAATAGGCAAGTGGCCTAAGAAGCACTCGCAAATCGCCTTTCATCAAGAACTCGCCCTGGAGAACATAAATGGATGCCATGAGAATACCTTTATTGGCCAAAGAACATTTCCTATATCTCCCATACCAAAGGTGACATCAAGGTAAACAATGAAATGGACAACAAATCAAATAATCAAATCTGTTGCAGGAGGAGATAGTTGGCTAATTATCTGAAAAGCCAAACGATGGCAAGTAAGTTGATTTTGCGGAGGATGAAGATGAAGATGAAGATAACACATGTGTAGTACATACGTATTTATAAGATGTGTGAAGGTGAAAATACGGAATATGAATGGCCACTTACATGCATGGTAACCGAAATTAAATGGCCTAAAATCTTGGAAAAGAAGATTGAAATGCCAAAAGTTTTGCTCCGTGTAAAAAAATCCATGAAGGGAAATGTATATGAGTTTAGCATAAGGTAATTAAATATTTGGGGGTTGACAATTGAAGAAGACGTCAATTAATAAGCAAATAAATAAAATAGTTGTTCCATTAATGACATTGGCTGCCGTTATATTCGAATTAACAGTACCTCCAGCACAAAATTACAAAGAAAATAAAGGTATCAATGTCTTGGTTACAATTCACCCCAAGCTGAACGTATTTGTTCCCTAAGCATCCCTCACTCCTCGCTCTGCTTAAAAGAAACAGCAGACAACTCAATAGCAACATCCTCATCAACTTCCATCTTTGTATAACGCTCAACCAAAGACTTGGTTTGTTCAATTCCTTGGGAAGCATTACATTTTTTGGCAGCCATTCTAGCATTCCAGTTGTCCATCTTTGCTTGAAATTCCTTCATCTCTGCAGCTAAGCTTATCATCAAAGAATCCTCAATCATAACTTCAAAGGAGATTCGTTTAATACAGCCTCGGCTTTATCAATCTCTTGAAGCAAAAACTCATTTTTAGATACAGCATGAAGATACTGAGTACTCCTGGCCTTCAATTAGACATTTTTGGCTAACAAATAGATGATTTCAGAATGGATAATCTTCAACGTCGCCTTAAAGTCAGATGAAATGTTAAGCGACAGAAGTTTTAGTGCTTGCGCCAGTTTCACACTCAAAAGCTCAAATTTATCTTTTTGTTTGGCAGCACTGGCCTTCCCGATATCCATATCCATAGCCATAAAGGAAACATACTCAAATACTGATTGTTTGAGAGTCTTCATATTTTCCCGAGAAAGTAGAAGATGAATCAGAAGGACGACTGGTTGAAGAAGGGCGCGAGATATCTTTACTTGTCCCCAAGAAGTGAATAAGTCCCGGATGGAGCGCACGATGGCATCTGTATCCTGTAAAGAAAAATACAAATATTTAGCATTCTCACTGTAGTAAATGAAGTGAAGATAAAAAAAGAAACGAAGGCTACCTCATCAGCAACCTTGGAAAGTTCTGGTACTTCACCAGTCTCAGTCACATGTGGAGACTTTCCCTTATCTGGACGAGTAGACTCTGCCACAACGGGCATATCCATAGGAACCTCTGCAGAATTTCAGGAGCAATGAATCAAAGGCCAACAGTACAAGCAAGGGTAACGACATTAAAATATGTATTATCTTCTAGTTCAAGACTTGAGGGGTCAATCGGGACCCTTCCACCATCGAGAGGTACTAGCTGTGGCGAAGACTCTGGGGCTATAAATTTTTCTTTAAGCAGAGTCTCGGCATCAGATAATTTAGATGGAACAGCTTCAGCAGGAAGTGATGGAGTAGAGGCTGCTAAGACTAGAGCCCTTGAAGGGAAAGTTGAACTCTTCTGAAAATTCAAGTAAAACGTTAGCCTATGAAGAATAATTTGGTGCATAAAATAAACAGTCTCAAATACCTTTCTCCTGATGATGAGAGGAGCATCATCATCATCATCTGGCAAAACTGATGAAAATAGGGCTGGCCTTTTACGACTGAAAGTACCTTTGGTTGCACTAGCTCGAGCAGGAGGAGAAGTAGATCGAAGGGT